CGGTAAGCCGTGTCAAGGGGGAGCGCCGTCTCCCTGCTGCTTCTCACATGGGCGCCGGAACCGGAGTCGTGTCAAGTGGCTTTTAAGCTATTTCAAATGCTGATGAAATCACTTACCTGGGGAAGAGATGGCACCAGGATGCACTATGGCAAGAAGACAAGCCGGCGGAGGCAGTGTGATGCTTTGGGCAATGTTCTGCTGGGAAACCTCGGGTCCTGCCATTCATGTGTATGTTACTTTGACACGTACCGCCAACCTAAACATTGTTGCTGACCAAGTCCCTCCCTCTTCATGGAAACAGTATTCCTTTATGGCAGTGGCCTCTTTCAGCAGGATAATGCGCCCTGCCACACAGCAAAAATGGTTCAAGAATGGTTTGAGAAACACAACAATGAGCTTGAGGTGATGACTTGGCCTCCAGATTCTCCAGATCTCAATCCAATCCATCATCTGTGGGATGTGCTGGAGAAACAAGTCCGATCCATGGAGGCCGATCAACTCACTGCTTACAGGACTTAAAGGATCTGCAACTGACGGCTTGGTGCCAGATACCACGACACACCTTCAGAGGTCTAGCAGAGTCCATGTCTGGAGGGGTCAGGAGAATGGGGCCCTACTCAATATTAGGGGGGTGATGATAATGTAATGGCTGATTGGTGTAAATTGCTAATATTAAAAGTGAAGCGCATTCAAATATATAACTGTAGTCTTAAATAACACAACTCTTACTAGGAACACCGAGCAGGTTTTATATCAATGTTTCATTACCATGTTGATGAGGAAGAGGCAGGAACCAGGGAAAATATAAGCAGATTAAAGTTTGTCTTTATTGGTTTAGGTGACGGAGGAGAAAGTGAAGAAAAGCTGGTCTGTCGTAGATGCTAAAACTCTGAAAAGGGACGACGTGCAGAAAGAAACCGTGTTTTGCCTGAATAACGATGAGGAGACAGAAGTTCAGAAAGATGACATTATTCAAGGTTTGCTCTTCTCTGTCCCCTAAATATTCTCACAATATCTCTGGAACTCTGAGTGGCTTTTGCTCTGGGGAAGGAATGAAAGTGGCTAGTGACCAATCAGATTTCATGTTTTAGCTTCCTGGGAGAATAAAGAAGAACTCCGGGGAAAACGATTATTAACCCTTGCAGTGGGGCTACCCCTACACTGCAAGGGTTAAGTGCTTGTTTGGGTCTAGGGAGGATATAAAAGAAAAGTTTTACTCACCTGATCCTAGACCTGTCCCTGGAGCTCTTCTCCCCCTCCACTGCAGTGGTCAAAGGTTCCTGTAAATCACCACGTTCTGTACACAGTGTTTAGGATGGGAGGACGCTGAGGGACATTCCACTCCATTCTGAATGAGGTGAGTGAAAAGCACTCACCTCATAGTTCTCCTTTAAGCATTCATGACTGGATTTGATGCAATATTTGCTGATCCTGGAGTTCATATTTATTAAATATGATTAATAGTAGCAGACACCTTACCTTTTTCTTGTCCTCATTCAGCTGACCTAGTTTAGGCTTTTTGTAGCTTATCTGCCAACGTCCAACATTCCGGCACTTGGTGCAATTTTTGCTTACCAATGTTGAACTTGTGATTGGGTAAAACGCGTCAGTGGGCGCACTTTGGACGGAACACCAGTGATGTGGTACTATCTTCAATAAACTATTCCAGCGGAATCCAGTGTGCCGCTAGTTTTTGTTCTGTTTTGTATGGGCTCATATTGGAGTGAAGACGTGCTCTGAGCAGCAAACACCCGGCTCATTCCTTTTCTGACCCGTGGAGGAGCGATGCTTCTTTTGTGTGTTCTCCTTGCACCAGAATTGTGGTAGTTGCACATTGGTTGGTGATCCTTCTTCTCTCTTTATCTTTCCTCTCTCTCAGGTTTCCGTTATGGCAGCGACATAATACCATTTTCTAAAGTGGATCAAGAGCAGATGAAGTACAAGATAGAGTCCAAATGTTTCTCAGTGCTGGGCTTCACTAAGTCATCACAGGTAATACACTGATCTGGTCACAATAGCACAGCGCGTTGGGGGTATTTGTAAGGGCACCTGTCTTGTACATAGCTTTCCCTTTTTACGATGAGGTTCCCTTCCTAAAGTGCGGACACATTCGTGCAGATTTGTTTCCGGTTTTGTATCACAAGCAATTAGAGCAGCATTGCTTGTCATTGTAGCTCTCTGATTGGTTTGTGAAACTGCAGTGGCGGAGCTGAATTCTAGGCCTCATTTCAGAAGGACACAAACCAGTGTTCTCCCGTGACCCAAAGCTCAGTATACCGCGAGCTACAGCTGTGTGCCCGCCCCTTCCTGCGTCCGTTCCGCCAGTCAGCACTGGGGAAAGGGGGGGGATCCCGGCAGGGAGGCGTGAGTGACAGTCATGACTCTCTGTAGGGATAGATCGAGAAGTGAGCAAGCGCCGGTATGTGTTCGCTCACTTCCTGATCTACTGAGCCAACCTGTGACAGTTTCATTGTCACATGTCGGCTCAGATTATGAGGTTCTCCTCATCTCATATAGTTCTCCTTTTTAAAGTCTATATCAGGCCAAGTCTATGCAGTGGGGTAGGAAATGGGGCTATGAATGCAAAGGGTGACTCTGATGTGAAGGGAAGGGGGAAAACTTGATTTGAAGGGGGCACTTTGATGTAAAAGGGAAGCCCACTTTTTTGGGGTGTTTTTGTGTGGGGTCCCCCTTAAAATCTACATTTTGCACTGGACATACTATACACACCCAGTGTACTTAGAAAAGGAAGGCTAAAGATGGTAGTATTCTTTTATGAAAAGGCTCAAAAATAACATTGGCTGTGATAGGAAATATCTTTCCCCAAAAGATAATTTTATATATTTTCTGTTACATATTCACTCTGCAAATGTTATTTATACTCTTTTACAAACTTGTGGCCTGGAACAGCGTTTCTCAAAATTTTTTTAGTCACAGCACCCTTTAAAAGTATGCAAAATCTCCAGGCACCTCAGTGTAAAATATAGATTTTAAAGTGGGACCCCATGCAAAAACACCCAAAAAAGTGGGCTTCCTCTTTCACATCAAAGTGCCCCCTTCAAATCAAGTCCCTCCCCCCCCATTCACATCAGAGTCACCCTTTGCATCGATAACCCCCTTTCACATTAGAAGCCCACCTTTCACATCAGAGTTCCCCTTTTACCTCAGGAGCCCCCTTCACATCACAGTTCCACTGCCACAAAATTTTGAGGCACCCCTGAGGAAGCCAGGAGGCACACCGGCGGTTGAGGAAGGCTGGCCCAGAATATGAACGCCAGATGTGAACTTCATTGCTCATTACATATAATAATAATACAATATTATCTACAATTCCGTGTTGCCTGACATTTCCTGATAATTATATTGCGTTTGACTGTATTTGCAGATTGACAGGACTCAGTTTATGGGCAATCAGGTTCTGAAGATCTTTGCACCTAAGGATGACGATGTAAGTTGGCATTTCATAAAGATTGTGATTTTGATGGAGGTGCGAGAGGTTCATATATTAACATTTTTGAGCGGGTGACTTCCTATTGGTAACTGAGTTAGTATCCCCCAATACCGCTTTGAGGTCCCGTTCCACACTCCAGCCTGGGGGGCAGGCAAAACGTTGGGCTCCATCACGCCCCCTGCGCATTAGTAACAAATATAGAGCCACATATAGATTCTTAAACGTTCAAAACTTTATTGTGCAAACAGCACAGAGATGCTGCACCTGTCCCTTCCTTTAACATGTTTTGCCCCCTACAGGAGCGTTCTACTCTAAGATAAAAATGCTGACATTGCTATCTGAAGGGAAGGCATACAGAAAATACTGTAGTATCTTTACACAGGTGTAATAATGATCAGTGCCGGATTTCCCACAAGGCCAACCAAGCCCCGGCCTTGGGGCAGCAGGGAGTAGAGGGGAAGCAGGGGTGTGATGAATTCCTATATCCCAACTCCCAGGGGGGGGTTAGGGGGGCGCATTGAGGAACCTGGCCTCGGGGCAGCAGAGAGAGTAAATCCGGCCCTGATAATGATCTAATACACGGTGTGGCACCAATCTAAGGGACCTGTTAGAAAGGTCAGCAAAATTATTGCTTTGTGTTTTTCAACTTTGAAAATTGTGATATTACGTTCTCAAACAATTAATCCCCACACAGCTACCTCCTCATGTATCACTGGCCCCTCCCTTTTGGATTGTAAGCCCTCAGGGGTCGGGCCCTCCTTACCGTCTTGTCTTGAATTGTATTGTGATTGTAATGTCCTCCTTATATTGTAAAGCGCTGCGCAAACTGTTGGTGCTATATACATCATGTATAATAATATTAAAATGCAATGTAAAGGTAGACTGGTAAAGTCCTACATCTGATATCCGTATAAAATACTGGAGGGAATTCTTTACTTTCTTTACAAGGCACACTGAGCTGGATGTTTATTTGCCTGAACACGGAAGTGCTACACAGGACGGTCCAGGACATTGTACTTTGGGGGGCTGACGACAAGTAAAAATGTATAGATTGATTGTTTTTGCGTGCTGTTGTATTCCTAATAGCTGAATGTCCACTCTCTGTTCTTCAGGCTGCAGCTGTTGCACTGTCTTCCCTCATCCATGCTCTCGATGAGTTGGACATGGTCGCCATTGTACGTTACGCCTATGACAGAAGATCTAACCCCCAGGTTGGAGTGGCCTTCCCCATGATCAAGGAGAAGTATGAGGTATTGATCCTCTCCACGTTCTTGTATTACAGATACATTCTGACACTTTGCAGGAAGTGCGTACACGGCCTGAGTGATAGAAGTAAGCGTAATAAAGCAGAAAGTAGAGCGGGCTTCAAGTAAAACAAGAAGTGGTAGAAATGCCTTTCAGGTTTTTATTTGCTCGCTGGGAAATATGGACCCTCACTATTGTCCCAGTAATCTCTGCCACAGTGACACAAAGGGAAAAGAGATGTATTTCGGTTGTCATAAGCAAAACTAGAGGGGGAAATCTTCCAATGGTGACAACTATCAAAAAGTGGTATTTCCCCTTTATGGCAAAGGAAGGTTAAAGGTCTAGCCTTACTTTCAGTCTTTACACAGCCACACCACACAGCCCTTGTCTGGCAGGGGGGAATACCTGATTTTATGCTGTTGCACTTAAGCAGCACCTATAGGTATAGCCCCTCCATCCCTCTATGATTGGACCGTGAAAGGAGGAACAGCATGCTGATGAGCTCACTCCATTATCCTGCTTGCTCCTCCTAACAGCATACTCTATGTTAGCACATGAGCACTGCTGCACGACTGATTGTGTCACAACGAAGTACCTTAGGGGAGACTGAGTTGATGGAGGAGGTGTGCAAGGACAAGGATGGCACGGGTGCTGGTATGTAAGGAAGTCCAAGGCAAGCCCAGTCAGCAACAGTCTGGCAGTGAGGTATAGGAACAGCAGGCAAGATGTAGTCAGGCACATGCCAGGTCAGCAACTTGCGGGCGGCGAGGTGCAAAACAAAAGACAGGAAGGTGGTCAGAGTGAAGGTCAAGTAAGTTGGGTGGGTAACAGGAGATTAGGTCAAAATGCAGGATGCAGGGAACAGCTGGAGACAATTCAGCATTGGAGGCTAGGATGCCAAAACGTCCGCATCGGGTGTATGTGCATGCCGTGAGACACCTGTACAGACGCGCACACAACTGTGCTGTGAGCCAAACTATGCCCACATATGCATGCATGCATATGCAGGTGCTCATGCAGAACCCCGGACACATGGGCTGGTCCTGGTTTCCTGGCAGATTGGCTCCTTGTGCTGCTTCGCCCAGTCTGAGCTCCTCTGTGCAGGCATTACAAGAGGCTGATATCAGGTTACATTGAGGTATGTACACTGCAAAATGAATGATGTACTAGATTGTAAGCTCTCAAGAGCAGGGCCCTCCTAACCTTATTGTACTGAAACTGTATTGTATTGTAACTACTGTCTCCTCCATTTTGTAAAGCGCTGCGCAAATTGTTGGTGCTCTGTAAGTCCTGTATAATAATATAAATAATATTAATGAATGAAGACCTGCACTAGTACAAACAAATCTAATATCTGCCTGGACTTCAGAGTCCCTGGAGTGGAACTTGCACTAAAGGCTCAGTTACATTTTAAAGACTTTAGAGAAGACGAGTGCATTTGACATCACAGAGTTCTACTTTGACATTCAGGAATATATCTATAGAGTTTTATCATACATATATACTCCTCAATGGTGCATATTTCTTTCTGACCCTGATGTCATTGTGCCATAATACTGAGTGTTTACTTTTTCATGTTCCCAGTGTCTTGCCTACGTCCAGCTACCATACATGGAAGACATCCGGCATTTTGTCTTCTCTTCACTTGCCAACAACAAAAAGTTCAAGCCAACAGGTACAGCGATGTAATCTGGTGAAAGTGCGCTTGTTTAACGTTTCCTTTGTCCCCAGCTACGGAGAATAAAGTAAATGGTTTAATGTTTCATACATTTAGTATTTGCTGCCAAAACAAAGTTTTAAAGGAAATTGTAGGGCTTTAAAGGTCTTCATTAAGGAATGGAAGAGTGCAGGCAGTATATTGTCATTTTATGAGTGCAAGTGGTTTAAATATACACACCGAGTGGCCAGATTATTATGACCACCTGACGTTTGTAGGCAAATTAGCTATAATTTGGCGCTGAAGTTGCTAGAGGGCCGGACCATTATAAATAGGGAAGCGGGTTGTTTACCACGACAGTAGAAGTGATTTGTTTCTGAAGATACGGGGAAACAACGCGATAACAGCCTTTGAACGTGGGATGATTGTTGGTGCTCGGAGCCATGGAGCGAGTATCAGCAAAACAGCAGAATTCGTTACATGTTCAAGAGCAGCTGTTGTTAAAGTGTTTAAAGACCGGACTGTCAGCCGAAAATCTGGGTCTGAACGTGCGAATTGTGGCCCTCAGCGACTAGTCAATGTTAGGGCAGAACGGGGGAGGGGCAAGACTGGTACAAGACAACAGAAGGGCAACAGTGCAGTGTCAGATTCCTCGCATCACCTTTCATCATCTCGTGGAGTCACGAGGCGGCCCAACAAAGTACTGATGGGGTGGTCATAATAATCTGGCCACTCAGTGTATATAAAACTGAACTCCGGCTTCCCTTTCAGTCTTACGCGTTTGTACCGGCTCCTCTCCTGGACATACTCTGATTTCACTGCATGCTGTGAGCTTCTCACAATGTGCATCAGAAGCTGCAGCAAGTCCGATGGAACCCGCCTCATTTCCTGGCTGGAGGATATTTCCTCCCCAGTTTGACTGTCTTTCATTCATTGGATTTCAGTTCTTTCCATCATGATGATTTGACATCACATGTGGGCATGCAAATGCACTACAAAACACAAAAAGAATCCCCAGCACACTTGCCAGCTGGCCTGCAACAAAGCAAATTACCCTGTCTAACAGTATGCGTTAAAAGCAGAGGTTTTAGTTGCACAAATCTTTGGCCAAAAATATGTAGAAGCCAGACCGCCCCGTCAAGGCTCCTCTGTGACGTGTGGTCCTAACTCTATTTATGGGTCTCCAAGTGGCAGCATATTATTGCAGGCGGTAAATTAAATGCAGGTGTACCTGGAGGTAGCCTACTCCTCCTCAAAAGGTACAGGGACGCACTGGAGGCCCAGCAATCAAAAATGCACGCTGGGGCCCCAGTGCGCCCCCACATCAAAAATAGTCAAACTAGAAGCAAGTGACAAACCACATAAATGTATAACCTGCCTTTTTAGCAAGGTGCGCATCAAAACGCAAAAAGAATCCCCAGCACACTTGCAAATGCAGCCTATCTTGGAGCACTTGCTCCGCCACACTGACAGTAAGCAAGCATTTTGAAATTTGCATAACTCCTCCCAAAATCCAGCCCACTGCTTGCATCAGGGCTGAGGGCTCTTGAGTGTAGTACTAAGGCAGGGGGCTGTGATATTTTCAGGAGGCACCCTGCCAGCTCCTCCCACAAGCCATGATCTGCCTACATTGCATAGAAAAACACAGGGACTTAGTGATGACATCACTGTGCCTCTAACATATGGCAAGTAATGAAAGCGAAAAGGTTTCTTATAAAAATGTAATTTGCATGTTGATAAGTGGACGAAAAGAAGAATCAGTGAAAGCAAAATATAAGCAGAACTAACCAGCTTTAAAGGGAATATATAGGGGGGGATTTATCAAGACTGGAGCAGACAAAATCTGGAGCAGCTGTGCACTGCAACCAATCAGCAACTCTCTTCAGTTTGTTCAGTTAAGATTTGAAAATGAAAGAGAGAAGCTGATTGGTTGCCAGGCACAGCTGCTCCAGATTTGATAAATTCCTCTCATAGTGTTTATGATGATGTTTTCTTTATAATGTTCAAGATTTTTTTAAAAATGTAAATGTTACTATTCTTGTTTACATTGCATGCTTACATAAAATACATTAGCTTTAAAATCAAACTGTGCTCTTGCCCATAACTAGGGCAAAGAATCAGGCTCGCTATAGTATTACCTCCCCAGAAGCACAGACTTCCCTTCCCTTTGCTCCTCTGCCGTTCCATTCAGCTGCTGGGAGCCAGAAAAGACAGCCCTGTGCAAACTCAAGTTTGGTTTCCAGATGGTGCTTACAGGGTTGTGTCTCACCCCCGTAATGTGCAAAGAATACTGAAATAAGGTTTTGGGGTAGGTTTTTTTTTTACGCATTTTAGCCCCTTACAGTTAGGGAACGTTTTACTGAAAGACATTTTAACACAGCAAATCACAGCTACACATGTCCTAGGTCTGCTGTAGCATTCTGTCTATACCTCCTCATGTATCCCTTGCCCCTCCCTTTTAGATTGCAAGCCATCAGGGACAGAGCCCTCCTTACCATCTTGTCCTGAATTGTATTGGGATGTCTTCCTTATATTGCAAACTGCTGCGCAAACTGTTGGCGCTATATAAATCCTGTATAATTATAATAATATATATTACACACACACACACACACACACACACACACACACACACACTGTGATGGTAAGATCCTCATTATCTGATCCTGTTCTCACCTGCCTACAGATGAGCAGCTCTCCGCAGTGGACTCTCTGATTGACAGCATGAGTTTGGTGGCTGATGATGGAGAGGATGTAGAAGATCTGTTCAAACCCAGCAAAATCCCCAACCCCCAGTTCCAGAGGCTGTTTCAGGTAAGTGATGCTCCTAAGACATTAGTCTTGTAGTGTGGGGATAGTCATTTGATCTAGAGATGCTTGATTGGTAATGTCGGCATTGTGGTAACTTTACAACTCGTATGTAAGTAAGGGAGGAGTATTGGGGGAGTAAAATACATAAATACATAAAATACAATATATATTGCAGATGTCACACACCGGATCCACATATCGAGAGCTGACTAGTCATGTAACCCCTGATTGCTCAGCTCACGGTCTACTCCCTGCAGAGAGAGTTGACTGTCAGTCACGGCTCCACAGAGGATTCCCCCCTGCCCTCTCTGGAACAGCCAGAGGAGGGGGCGGGCACAGCTGGCTCCTGCTATAGAGAGGCAGTGCCAGCTGTATATCAGGCAGTTGGATGGATCCAGACAATATTATCAGTATCTTTCCCGGCTGCAGTGCTTCTCTGAGCTATCAGCAAATAATGTGGAGTAGCCCGCTATATGCTGACTTTGGGTCAGCATGGGAATGCAGACTTATATTTTAGTTTTTGACCATAGATACCCTTTGAATTCTTATATAAGCTTATGGGATGATTGTTAAAATTAATTATCTGGCAACAGGGTCTCTTCAAAAATGATGTTTATATGAAATATCATATCACTGTTCTAAATGAATAAAGAAAAAGATTGGGAAATTGGGTAGGGGCTTCGTGGAAGCCATTAATAGAGATATGCAAATTAGCTGAATTGATTACTCTGAATTGAAGAGGAATAGGCTTCTTTGTATTGGGCTGCAGCCTCCCAAACCCACTGAAGCTAAGCCAAGTCTGTTAGCCTGATGAGGTCACTTTTGCTTCTGCTGAATAAAACTTGTGTGCACACCTGAAAGGACATTGGTTTGTTCCAAACCTTCATAGCCGTCACTTTTGCTGCATAAATTGTCCAACATGTAAATATGGGGAAAAATATTAATGAAGGTATGAGAAAAAACGGACAGAAATTAAAGTTTACAGTCGTGTGAAAAAGAAAGTGCCCCCTGTATGGTTTTTAGTATCAGGACATAATAAAAATCATCTGGTCCTTAGCAGGTCTTAAAATGAGGTGTATGGTCTTGCTAAGAAGCGCTTCTCATTGGTCGGTTGGGGAGAGGCGGCAGACTTGTGCGAGTAATTTAATTGTCTCACATTTGGTGATAAAGTGTAATTACCTTTTTAATGCTTCCTGATTGTTAAAAGTTAAAATAAACTTGGGGAGATTCTAGACAACAGTGCCAAGTAAGTAAAAACCTGGAGGGTCAGAGTTTTATTTACCTCCTGAAATATGCATTTTTGGTGCACTGACTTTATTTTACATATAAAGCAGCAAAGAATGACAACTTCTGCTTATAAATGTAAGGTGGGGTGCGCAGCAGACCTCTGGGGTATGAGTTGTGCTCCTTGGAGGATGGACACTAGGCCAAAAGAAGGCGGTCATGCTCCTCCCCTAGTGGGCTGTACTTCTCTACACAGGAAGAGAGAGTTCAGCCTTTAGTCCAGGGGTGGGCAAACTCCAGCCCTCCAGCGGTGTGAAACTACAAATTCCATCATGCATCTGTCTCTCGTGGCTGTGAAAATCTTGCAATGCCTCATGGGATTTGTAGTTCAACAACAGCTGGAAGCCCAGAGTTTGGCCACCCCTGCTTTAGCCTATTCTGGTCTTTTTTACATCATCTATAATGCTCCTATTCTGTATTTTTTTTACTTTGTTGGCACACTTTGATGATCACACATTTCTGCGAGTGAAAGAAAAAAACATGGTTGGGCCATTTGATATGTTAATTTAATATATTGATTTCACCCCTTTCCTCTCTGTATCTCACTTTTTTATATCTGTCGTCTTTACATTAACTGTGAATACTGAAAGCAGAGGTTATAAATAATGTGTGAAGTTTAGTCTCACCGCTTTCTATCGCTCTCCTACCGAAACTGAGAAATTATTTCTGATATTAGACCCGGAGGACCTTTTTAATAAACAGTGTAGTGTCGGGGTGATACTGAATGTCAGCGCCAGTTCTTCATTTACACAGAAACACAGGTGTAAATAATATATAAAAACCTCAGTTATGATCGCTGGTTACAAAGAGATCACTTCTATCTGCTGTGTTGTAGGTACTTGGGAAAGTGGATGGGTAGCGCTGGACCCTAGTTTTGTCTTATTGGTATCCAATAGTTACATAGTTACATAGTATTTGAGGTTGAATAAAGACATTAGTCCATCAAGTCCAACCTATAGGATCTCATTCTAGGAGTACCCGTACCCCTGTATATTACGGTCCCTTAAGAAATCGTCCAAAAGTTTCTTGAACAATTTCACATTATTTGCTGAAATCACCGCCTGTGGCAGTGAGTTCCAGACCCTAACTGATCTTACTGTGAAGAACCCCCTTCGCCCCTTGTGCTGGAATTTTTTTTCCACCAATTTTAGGTGATGGCCTCTAGTTTTTGTAACGGAGTTAATTTTAAACAGTTTATCGCTAATGTTGCTACCACCATTAAACATTTTGTACATGGAAATCATAATTATATAATGGTAACCCTAAGGTTGTCTTATTGGTATCCAATAATAATATAATGGTGACCCTAGGGTGTGTCTATTGGTATCCAATAGTATTATAATGGTGACCCTAGGGTTGTCTTATTGGTATCCAATTGTATTATAATGGTAACACTAGGGTTGTCTTATTGGTATCCAATCTGCTGTGTTGTAGGTACTTGGGAAAGTGGATGGGTAGCGCTGGACCCTAGGGTTGTTTTATTGGTATCCAATAGTATTATAATGGTAACACTAGGGTTGTCTTATTGGTATCCAATAGTACTATAATGGTAACACTAGGGTTGTCTTATTGGTATCCAATAATATTATAATGGTAACACTAGGGTGTGTCTTATTGGTATCCAATAATATTATAATGGTGACCCTAGGGTTGTCTTTTTGGTATCCAATAGTATCATAATGGTGACCCTAAACTTTATATTATAAAGTTCTTATAATATAAAGCCAGGTATGCAGAATTGGATATAGCTGTGCCACACTACAGAGTGTTCATGTTCTTCATAATATTAAGAAACTGACCTAAAATCATGATTTTGTATTGCTTTAGAAAAAATGTGACCTGTCCCTTTAAGAAAAAGTATCGGTAATTGGTATCGGCGAGTACTGGAAAAAAAGTATCGGTACTCGTACTCGGCCTTAAAAAAGTGGTATCGGTGCATCCCTACTTACGAGTATCCAATAGTATAATGGTGTTGGTACGGGCTGTCTGGTTATTGGCGTTGCAGCTTCCCCACGCCAGACGATTCCCCCATTTTCCTTGCCTTGTAGTGCAAAACAACAGATCAAAGATTGAAGTGCCAAACCACAAATTAATAGTAATAGTCCAGATACAATTTTATTCCAATGTAGGGTACAATGAAGGTACAGTGTTAGTGGTTTTAAGCTATTTTAAATGCTGATTAAATCACTTATTTCTGTTTAAAAGTTTAAGCTTCCTGCAAAGTACTGACCCTGATATCCTGTTTCAGGGTGGCTCCTTTCCCTTGCAGGGTCCCATGGGGTGAGCTGTCTGTGTCTCTTGAAACGGACAGGCAAGTCAATTCCCTGCTCCCTGTTCCTCCCTTGTGCAGGCTGGTAAATGGATAGTTGCTGCTCTGTCCCTTGTGATCTTGTACTCAACAGGAAGTTCAGGGAAGAGCTGGAGCCAGCTGTTTGGAAACATGAGGACAATAAATGCTTGTGCAAAAATGTAACGAAAATCTTTGCTGGGCAATATATATTTATCCATGATTTTACAAATATGTGATAGGCTGACAGACACTGGGGCTGCATGCATGTAACCTTGTTTATAAACATTTTTCAGACTGAAGATAGAGAGATACAAAGTAACATTGTTTATAAACATTGATCAGAGGGAGATGGAGAAATACAAAGTAACATTGTTTAATAACATTGATCAGAGGGAGATGGAGAAATACAAAGTAACATTGTTTATAAACATTGATCAATTGATCAGAGGGAGATAGAGAGATACAAAGTAACATTGTTTATAAACAATGATCAGAGGCAGATAGAGAGATACAAAGTAACATTGTTTATAAACATTGATCAGAGGGAGATAGAGAGATACCAAGTAACATTGTGTATAAACATTGATCAGAGGGAGATAGAGAGATACAAAGTAACACTGTATATAAACATTGATCAGAGGGAGATAGAGAGATACAAAGTAACACTGTGTATAAACATTGTACAGAGGGAGATAGAGAGATACCAAGTAACATTGTTTATAAACATTGTACATATGAGAGATAGAAAGATACAAAGTAACAATACCATGTTATGGATATTCCATGACCTGCATGAATGAGAACCTTCACAGACATATAATTGGAAACCTCAAATGAAAGAAGAGAACATAGAAGGTCAGGGACCTGCTTATAAAGATGAATTAAATATTGTATTTTTAATAAGTTGCACACACCCTATTTTTTTGCATAATTTTTTTCCCCAATGTATGAAAGTTTGGTTCAGGAGGTTTAGAGCTGAATTGGTTAATGTTATTGGTAAAATAGAGAACCCCTTATAGTTGTCAGCTGCACGTTTGCAAAAGTTTGAATGTATTGTTTGCTGTTACCCCCATCTGTACAGACCCCATACAGACACTGATATCAGCATTGCCGGTGCAGCTCAGTCAGCACTCTATCCCTTATATGTGCTTTATGTGTCTGTAATCACAGAGGAGAGAATGATGCAGACCCGCTTCTGTGTTTTTTTTTTCTCTCTTTATCCTTGTCTTGTATTGTGTGGTGATTATTCTACAGATAAGAGCTACAGCAACATCAATGACCCCAGTTCAGAGCCCTGGAATATGGCACGATCGATCGCTGGTCCTGCTGCTGTTATCAGTGGATCAATCAGTGGCTCGGCAGCGAGACAATAGACACTTCTCCCACCGCTGTCAGCTCTCCGATTCCTAGTGTAATAATGAAATGTTTTATCTCTTTCTACAGCAGCATTTGATGCTAACCTGTGTTGTAGAGCCCTGCAGTAGCCTTTCCCTGTAGTCTAGTACCTACCGTCTACAAACCAACCTGTGCCTGCGATTTGATGTGCACCTGCACGTACCAACCAGAGCTCCCTTATACCGCGGCCACAAACTATAGAAAAAAAACAAGGTTTTTATTGTATAAACCAAATGTAACTGACAATTGCCATGTGTATGACCAGGTTTAGGGGTCAGTTGAGGGCTATGACTGAAGAGGACATTTAAAATGCAGCCTTACTGTGGCAATATCGCTGTTATAAAGGTGTGCTTAATGCTCCCTTGGCTTCAGGGCTTTGAAGTCAGAAGGGGGCTATTAGAATGAATGGGAATTTAACCAAAAAAATCCCATCAAAGGCATGTGAGCGGCCTCTCCTACAATTATGGAGATCTTTATGCTGCGTTAGGCAGAGCGAAGCTATCGCACACCGCTGGCTGCACGCCATTGCATGCGTTTTTATGAATGGCTCGCTGTGTGGATTATGATTGTGCTATATAGAGAATAGCAATGTTCACTCTCTGCTATAAATGGGGCTTTAAAGGGTTAGGCTGCAGGTTAGGGGTGAGGTTGAGAATGAGGCATACTCTCAGGTTTCGAGATTTGTGGGTTAGGCTGAGGTTTAATGTAGAACAGGGGTGGTGGGCAACTGCGGCCCTCCCAGTTGTTGTAGAACTACAAGTCCCATGAGGCATTGTAAGACTGACAGTAACAGGCATGGCTCCCAGAGGCATTTTGGGATTTGTAGTTGAAGCACAGCTGGAGGGCCGGAGTTGCCCACCTCTGATGTAGAGGGTTAGGTTGAGACTGAGGGTCAACAAGGGGGGTTGAAATGAACTAGGGTTGCTTTAATTTGAGGGTTACAATCAGGGTTAGGCCATGGTGGATTAATAATAATTAGGTCTTTGGGTATGATTGTTGACATTCTGTATCACTATATAGCAGGATGATGGGAACTTCCTCTTACAAACCAAACTGTACCTGCCATTTGACATGCACCTGCACAAACCGAGCAGAGCTCACTTTTGCCGCTGCCACTTTATCTAGAACTCTAAAATGTTACAGGAATAATATTATACAGGTCGGCCTGATTATAAGAGGGAAATAAAACTTTTAGAATCCTAAACATCAAAACTGAACGTCCCCAGTGTGGGACCATTACAGAGAGACCACTGCTTCCAAACACAGAGCAGTGGTCCTTTTCTGCATCATGCTGGCAGGGGACAGATTTTACTACTCGAGCTGTGGCTGCTTTCTAAAGAAAACAAAATGTGACATTTTGTTTTGATGCAAATTTTATGTTTTTAGTTGACTTGGGCTTAAAGTTCAATTGGGCTTAAGGGCCTGTTCACATGATATCAGGTGCGGATCTGCAGACGCGGTGCTACTGATGCAGTGCGTTTTGGTCGCGTTTTTGATGCATTCCAGTTAAAAAAATATATATATATCATTTTTTTGCTGGAGTGGGGCTGTCAGTATGTTAGCTGCAGTGCAGTGCGTTTTTGACGCGTTTTGCGTTTCAGGTCCGTTTCCTGCCCGGACAAAGTGTGACCTACAGTATTTTTTCTGTCGTAACCTGAACGGACTACGCACGTAGAACTGTAGCCCATAAAACACAAAGGGATACATTGGGGTGCATTTTTAGTGCAGGAGCGTACGGATCAGGTCAGCACAGAAAACGGACGTCGTGTGAAAAGGCCCTTAAAGGCAACCTGCATGGATTTAAAGCACATCTGTTGTGAACGAGCTCTAAATGAATGCTGAGATGAGATCACATAGCTATTTATTCTTGTTTTCAGCCAGTCTGAGAAAACTAATGTGCATTAAGGGAGATGAATAGTAAAGCACAGTCACTGTGTATCACTGCTCCGTAAGCAGAAGGGCATATGTAATCAGCAAATATGACACTGTATGTGTTTATACCTGTGTACAAATATCTGTACAAACCATAGGTAAAAACAAGTTTTTTCTTTAAAACAAAATGCTAAGATTGAAAGCCTATCCCTGGGTAAGGTATGTAGATGACCTTTAATTTTCCTGGTCATTCCAGATGTCATGCTTAGTGCAGCTCTTGCTGTTGTCCTTGTAGTTTCACCGTGTTGTGCCCTCCATGGCCTTGTATGCTCATGTCACACTGGCCACAACATGCCGGAAGGAGGCGAGACCGTGACGTGCCATAGTCATGTGACAGAACACTTCTCTGACTACAGTTTTATGCAGAGAACACTCCTTAGGACACCAGAGGTTCTACATTGTAGCCTGCATTTTATTATTTACTCATAAAGTGCAGGGTGGATGAAATAGCTTGTCCTCTCTCTGCTTAATAGGCCAATGGGAGTACACTCTCCTTCTATTATGGTTTTGCTCCCTTGCTGGCTAGTCCATTGCTGTCATTGCTACCTTACTAGGGAGCTTCTTCAGATATTTGGCCCAACTTCCATTGGGTAAAGTGACAGTTGCATCTCGGTGATTCACCATTGAGACATTACTATAGAATTAATTCACTGGCAGACGGGAAGTGATCGCACAGCTTGTAGGGAGAAAGGTTTTACATGATGAATTGCAATGTGATAGTCTAAGACCCTTGAAGGCCGCTAAGTTCCCTCACCTTCACCAAGTACTGGAGACCTTATTGAACCGTTTCTGTTTCTTTCAGTGCCTACAGCATAAAGCCTTTCACCCCGATGACCCCCTTCCACCTATTGACCAGCATCTGTTGGACATGCTAGAGGCTCCAGCAGAGGTAAAAACCTATTGTAAAGGCGCATTAACCAAAGTGAAGGCCTGCTTTCCTCTGCAAGTGGCCGGGAAGAAGAAGGAGCAGAAGACGGCCCAGGATATCTTTGAAGACAAGTACGTGCCGTGTTTCATACGGATTTTATTACTTTTGCCTTTTCTCCGACTGAGATTGTGTAAGTAACTTCTTATGCACAGCAAGGGTGTCTGGCTTCCTAGGCTGTGAGCTGTTACCTTGAAGAGAACAGTTGTGTTAAAGCAAAAAATTTGGATGTTCACTCTTAAAGGAGAACTATGAGGTGAGTTCTCCTTTGAGAGAACTCACCTCTCGATCCTGTCACGGCTCTTTGCCGTGACAGGGGAGTGGCTGGATTCCCCCCTCCCCGCTCCGATCCTCCAGCGCTGACTGGCGGAACGGACGGGGAGGGTACAGCTGGCTCTGCCTCTAGATAGGCAGAGCCAGCAGTCACTCACGCAGCTGGGCAGATCCCGACATAATTGTTGGGATCCGCTTCAGCTGCGTCGTCTCAGTATACCGCGAGCTGTAGCTTGCGGTATACTGCGGCGTGTCAGTATACCGCGAGCTATAGCTATAGATCGCGGTATACTGAGCCTAGGGTGACGTGAGGACACTAGTTTGTGTCCTCCCGTTACCCTAAGAAGAACTATGGGGAAAAGCCCCAACCCCATAGTTCTCTTTTAAAAGAGAACTATGGGGTAAGTGTTTTTCCCCATAGTTCTCTTAAGGGTCATGGGAGGACATAAACTAACCTCCCGTGACCCAAAGCTCAATATATAGCAAGCTATTGCCAGCGATATACTGAGACCGCCGCAGCCGGGACGGATCGCGACAATGTTGTCGAGATCCACCCAGCTGCATGAGTGACGGTTGGCTCTGCCTATCTAGAGGCAGAGTCAGCTTTACCGGCCCCTTCCCCGTCCGTTTCTCCAGTCGGTGCTGGAGAGAGGGGAGGGGGGAATCCCTGCGGGGAGCGGTGACTGACAGTGACTGATCGAGAAGTGAGCGAGTGACAGTATGTGTTCGCTCACTTCCCGATCTATTGAGCCGACCTGTGACTGTTTCATTGTCACACGACGGCTCGAACTATGAGGATGAGTGGAAATCACTCACCTGATAGTTCTTCTTTAAATATTCAGATGCTTGTGTCAGTCCAGCCCTGACAGGTTCTTTTTAATGAGCAACTCCAGCCAATCTGCTAAATACAAACGTGAGACCCATACATAGGAGCTGTTTTACCTACCTTATGTAATGTTGCCCACCCCTCCTGTGGGGTATGCAATCATGACATGTTGATGGTACCAATGTGGTACAGGACCTACAGTACCATAACTCCACCTCCTGTCTGATCTTTTAGTTTTTGGTGATCATTACCACACTGTAACCCATACCATGAATTCTCGCCCTCCTTTAAGACTCCCTAAATGCCCTCTCCCATTCATTAACTTACACAGCAGGCGAGCCAGATACTGATTTTTCAATCGCCGTGTGGCGGTTCAGTAATGTGAATATGGGTGAGCTGGCTAATGGGTAGGCAGCGTCCGCAATCCAAAGATCTCCACACTATCCTTGGCTTAACATTGAACACAGTGGATGTTGGAATTGTAGTATCACACCAGGTAAAATAGTCCTGATACAACTTTATACCACTGGGTACCAATGGGGAAATTTTCCTTCACTCCAGTCCCAATCATGCAGCAGGAGGTTAGAGTAAATCTCCCTAAAGAAGGGAAATTCCCTGACACAAGTGTTCCCTCTGAAGGGTTTCTCCTATTGTGCTGGGGGCTGCTCTAAAATCTAGCATTTTCGCTCACTTGGTCACCAGTACAAATAGGAGGGTGAAGCTCCCTAATGGGGACATGGACTACAATAAAATCTTGACGGAGGGTCTAACCCTTCCTTCGCTCTGTCCAAGAACTAAAACGTTGCCTTGAGATACACTTATAATACAGGTGACAGACTGCATCATATGTCATTTGTTTTCATTTTATCCAGTTCTAATTTTAAGAATGTCACATTGTCTTTGGAGGTAGGTAGATGGAGGGTCACAACGCTCCCAGTCTATATAGAAAATGGTGCTCGCAGTGATGTCCACGGATGGCGCCGTGCAAACACAGGACAAAGGACAGGAATCACCAGTAATCGAGAGTGCTGGTGATTCATGTCCTTACATTGTCTTTGGAATTTTCCAGGCCGGAAGGGTTAAAGCCACTGTTGAAATTTCAGCATTTAACAACGCGAGAGACTTCTTGATCCCGGCATACAATTAGCTGCTGCTCGGCTAAATGTCACAGACCAATTACAACAGTCTGGCACTTGGATTACAGAGCGCTAAGCATTCCGCCTTTGTGTTCTCTTTCTTTTTGTATCTGCTGCTGACGTCCTTCCTGCGACAGTAAGAAAATATCAGCAGGCAGGTACTAGGGTGGCTCAGACATTAGTCAGTGCACCTCCGCTGCAGCCATCTTATGACACAGGAACTAATGACACATGGGGACACTGCTGGGGGGCGGGGGGATAATTCTACACAGTGCAAAGGATCTGTTGTATGCAGCCAAGATTTCCTCTGTGATTATTTGGCGCTCACTACTAATTAGTCTATTGTATTTTGGCACCAACATTTTAGTTGTTTCTAGTTTCGCTTCTCCGTCGCTTGTGATGGTGCTGGTGCCTGAGCGGCCAATTTCCAAGCACGGGAAGAAAGGGAGTGAATCTCACGATCCAGAATACAGAATACACGGATGTAGTGGGCATTTCTTCCCTCTCCCAGCAGCCTACACCACAATGGGTACGGAAGGGGAGGTGGGTTTATGCAACAAGGGGGTGAGTACTAAGGCCAACATGTTGCTTTTACCTCTGGCAAAAGCGCAGGTTCCTTTTAAAGAGCAACAAGTGGTACCAGTAAGTTCTGTCCAGTAAATCATGCAGGTAAAGGGCCATTCCACTTTCCCAGGGGAATTTGGGAACATGTAATTACCCCCTCCAATCTGGTCTCATCTGCCCTCCCCCGCCCCCCTTGCTATACTTACCTTTGGGCGAATGCTCCTTCCCTTCCACCGGTGCAGTTCTACTATCTGTACCCCCTACTGCCATTTAGCGCATCCCTGCGCTCTGAATGTTGAATTTCGCTTGCAAATTTCGAACCACCAATTGCAGAGAGCCTGCAGTGAGTGGATTTGGAAACACCACAAGAACTGGTAAGAGAACGGGTTTTCCAAATCACCAAATTAGTGACATAAGGGACCCCTGAGTAGGTACACTGGGGGGAATTTATCAAAATCTGGAGCAGCTGTGCAGGGCAGCCAATCAGCTTCTCTCTTCAGATTGGCCTGTTAAGATTTGGAAATGAGACTTAAGGTGCCCATACACCTTACGATTATCGGACGATTTTCGTATGCGACTTTTCGTCCGATAATCGTATGTGTGCATTGCAGTGTCCGACCGACATTACTGTACAATCGTACGACTTTTGACGGTCAAGCATGTTTGAAAACTTTGCTAGATCGTACGATTGACGTAAGGTTGCTGGCGTTTCCGTCCGTCAAAAGTCGTACGATCTACACTGCGCTTGCGCTAACGAAGATACGGCAAATCAATTACCGCATTTCGTCCAGGTGCTTTTCATTAATTACGTCTAAATTAATCTTGCGATCATCGGGGCAGGATGGGGCTGCCGTACGAAAATCGTACGACTATTCGATCATCGGACGAAAAGTTTCGTCCGATAATCGTAAGGTGTATGGGCACCTTTAGAAGCCGATGGGTTGCCATGCACAGCTGCTCCAGATTTTGTCTGCTCCAGTTTTGATCCATTCCCCTCACTGTGTTTTGTAAAATTGTCCATGTATGACTAGCATTAAGCTGTACATACATGTGGCAGTATGATAGAAATCAACCTTTACATCCTGTTTTGTAAAAAATGCAATAAATATTACGGGTTCAAAAGTGGTTGAATTTAACCAAAAATTGCCATTTGTACAAGCAGCTTTGGGGTTCGGTTGAGGGCTATGACTGAGGGGGACATTTAAAAAGTAGTGATATGGCCTTACTGTGGCAGTATCACTGTACATTCATAAAGGTGTGCTTTATAAATGTACTTAGTTCTCCCTTGGCTTTGGGACTCCGAAGTCAGCAGAAGGCTTTTAGAATGAATTGGGATTTAACAAAATAAAAACCGTGTTAAAGGCATGTGGTGATGAGGGAGCATGAAGTCAGCTTCACGACCAATCAGGAAGCCGGGCAGCGCGTCATTACACTTTACACATTACACTTGTGATGAGAGAGCATGGCGCCGGCTTCCCGGGCCAATCATGAAGCCAGGCAGTGTGTAATGACGCGCTGCCCGGCTTCCTGATACCAGAAGTATCGGGCTAGGCATCGGAGCATTTGGGCGATTACAAGTACTCGCCCAAATACTCGGCACCGATACTAGTATCGGTATCGGTGCATCCCTAATTATTGACATTCTGTATCTTTATTTGCTTTAGTGCCCTATAGAGAGGGATAGTGGAAACTCACTTTTGTACAGTTTTATATAAAGTCTCATGTGGTGAATATTTTTGCAGCGATGCCTCCCCATCAAATACATCCCTATTAGTGTTCAGAGGCTGTTAGGCAGCATGTTGCTTTGCAGCGGCAGTGAACTGGTTAGTGCTCTGTAGTCAGAGGCCAGACACGTCAATTTAATTCTGCACTCAATTTCTATAGGGCTGCTGGCCGATCCCCGCGTTTGATTACAGCCTGGCTTCCTGACAAGCGCCGTGATTAGCTGATTGCAAATTATTGATTTCTCTGGCCAAGCACAATACAGCATCCTTCTTCTGTCTGGCTTGTTCTGTTAACACTCCCCGCTGGCTGGGGCCCGGGTTCTGCTTCTCTATAGAGCAAATACTGAACACAAAGCCATGAGCAAGAGACCCCACACTCCTCTGTACATCACTTCTTTATTCTCTCTGCACCGCTTCTTTTATAAATCTAGCGTCCACTGTCTGGATTTTTAGGTTATATCTGTGAAGATAATGAATCCCAGGCTGTCTTGTTTGCTGCTCATGACAAATGACTAGATACAGGATTGCCAATGGCACAAAACACCGAAAAGGAATGAGGGCACTTCATTATGTTAATGGAATTATGGTAAAAGGTAACGGTGCCAGGCACTTAAAGTGCTAGATGTCCTGTTTTGATTAGTCTTTCCGTTCAATTGATGGATGATTAGGAGCATGTAGTGGAGTCTACTATTGTGACCCAAGCTATTCTCCTTATAACGGCCCGTTCCTGTATCCTTTGTTTGCCTCAAAGCTTCGGGAATAATGTCTCCAGACACCAAGTATCATGATTACAGAATTCAGTTTATCTTTAGTAAATACATCGTTCTTATACAGTTTCGGGACTTTGCAGAAGAGGCGTGATTTGTCTACAGTGAAATACTTTCTTCAACAACAAAAGTATTAAATTAGCTTTGCAAACAGAAAACACTTTCCATTGGTTATATATAGGGATGCACAGATACCGATACTAGTATCGGTATCGGTACTGAGTATTTGGGTGAGTACTCGCCCAAATGCTCCGATACCTAGCACGAGTACTTCCTGTATCAGGAAGACGGGCAGCGCATCATTACACGCTGCCCAGTCTCCTGATTGGCCAGGAAACGGCTCCATGCTCTCTCGTCACTTGTGATGAGAGAGCATGGAGCCGACTTCCCGGCCAATCAGGAAGCCGGGTAGCGTGCAATGACGCGCTGCCCGGCTTCCCGATTGGTCAGGAAGCTAGCAAATCCGGAAGCCGGGCGACGTGTAATGACACAGCGCCCGGCATTCTGATTGGCCGGGAAGCCGGCGTCATGCTCCCTCATCATCTCATGAATCATAATATTAAGAAAGTGACCTTAAAGCATTAGTTTGTATTGCTTTAGAAAAAATGTGACCTGTCCCTTTAAGAAAAAGTATCGGTAATTGGTATCTGTGAGTACTTGATCAAAAGTATCGGTACTCGGTCTTAAAAAAGTGGTATCGGTGCATCCCTAGTTATATATAATCAGACAGATGGACATTAAACAAGAACAAACAAAAAAATGTACTCTTTCCCAACCTTTCAGGTCCACTACCCTGCTGGGTTCCTTTTCTCCTGGTGCAGGACTGAGCCACTAAGTCCACACTGGTTTTGACCACAGGGTGGGCTGGGATACTATACTGCTGTAGTTCAGGAGAATTAAGCTTTTCTATGCTTCTTCTGCGCTGGGCCATGTGTCGTGTGATGTCACTTGGCTCGTGAGATTTCGCATTTTAAGTGGACCTGAACTCTAATAGTAAAGGTTTCTTATCTTACAGGGAGCATCTAGAAATGTTAATTGTGTCTAGGCAGTACCGTTAAAGGAGAATTATGGGGTTAAGGCTTTTCCCCATAGTTCTCCTTAGGGTAACGGGAGGACACAAACTAGCGTCCTCCCGTCACCCTAAGCTCAGTATACCGCAAGCTGTAGCTCGCGGTATACTGAGACGCCGCAGCTGAAGCGGATCCCGACAATTATGCCGGGATCCGCCCAGCTGCGTGACTGACAGATGGCTCTGCCTATCTAGCGGCAGAGCCAGCTGTACCCGCCCCTCCCCCGTCCGTTCCGCCAGTCAGCGCTGGCCGATCGGGGAGGGGGGAATTCAGCCCCTCCCCTGTCACGGCAGAGAGCCGTGATAGGATCGAGAGGTGAGCAAACGCCGGTATGTGTTCGCTCACCTCCCGATCTACTGAGCCGACCTGTGACAGTCTCATTGTCACAGGTCGGCTAGAACTATGAGGTGAGTGAAAAGCACCCCCCTCATAGTTCTCCTTTAAAAGTCTACTGTTTTGTCTCCTCTTGAAAGATAGCAGTGCACTTCCTGTGCCTCGGTGCTCATTTGCCACATTGCTACATATCTGCAGTGCGAGATCATCTAAGGCACTGCCGTCTCTGGCTCCTAGTCTAACCAGATTTCAAGTGAGATTTGGTGATGTCACTACTGTGGTGCTCGCTGCACTCTTAAGACCTGCAGTGCAAGGATCTCCCTGCTTCTGTTTTATTCATTCTGTGGATCTGCTCTTCCTCCACCCATCTGTGCAGAACAAGGCATTATACATCTGTAATGGGGAGAAAAAAAATAGCAGAGTTCTTTGTCCTCTGTGTAACTTTTTTTGGGCACAGTATATGTCCTCTTTAAGCCCCGTTCACATTGAGCGATTTATCACACGGTAATTCCGCGATATCGCGGCAAATTACCGCGCGATATCGCGCTCCAATGCATTTCAATGGGGCAAAGGGTCCTGCTGTCGCGGGTCGTGTGTCGCTACAGCAGGACCCTTTTTGGAGCGGATTTAGCCACGATTCAAGCTTTCTCAATGCAAGCTTGAACGCGATATCGCGCAGCAAATCTCGCGATGTCGCGCAATATGCAAATCGCGCGACAAACGCGCGATTTGCATATCGCGCAGTGGGAACGGGGCCTTAGGCATTGAGCAAGCTTGAATCGCGCCTAAATCCGCTCCAAAAAGGGTCCTGCTGTAGCGACACACGACCCGCGACAGCAGGACCCTTTGCCCCATTGAAATGCATTGGAGCGCGATATCGCGCGGTAATTTGCTGCGATATCGCGGGTATTACCGCGCGATAAATCGCTCAATGTGAACGGGGCTTTAATGGGTAGTATATTTTATTATTCACTCAGCAGTAGCTCCTGCTTTGGGCCTTCAGAGCCTGCCGGTACATGTAGTTCCCCAGCTTATGTAGTCTTATGAGGCACTTTATAAAGTGGCTTCACTTTTTATACTCTCCAGCTGCTCGGCTCTCCACCGAAGTGCTTTTTTGATGCAGAGATGGTAATGAGAGGCGGAGGAGAAAATGCATTTAATTTCTCATCGCATGATTTGGGCTGTAAAGTTTTGAGCATGGCAGCCAAACGAGCAGCTCTGCGGCTGCTCCGCAAGGCTGACTCCGGCTTACGCCTGGCCGTCTCTGCAAGGTGTGAAATTTACACGGCTTGTGAACAGGTGCAGGAATCTCCGCTGAAACAATCCTTCAGCTAAATGGATCACACTTAATTAGGCATGGAGGTTTGTGACAGACTGAGATATTGTTTCCACTCATGCATGGAGAATAATGCCGCTTAACCCGGTCTGATCAAGACATCCCTGTATGTGGGCAACATTCATCGTTGGACAGCCAGCAAGACTTGGTGGAGGATTTTAAACATTGTTACCAGTTATTTCCAATGTTATTTATTCAGCAGAAGATACATACACACACAAATGTTATTAACTTTCTTTTCACTTCCCCTTTCTTGTGTCTTTCCATTTCGCTTGTTTCCTCTGCTGTTTTTTTCCTTCTCCTTCTGTTCTAATCCCTTAGGATCACGTCACTCTTTGATCCTGTCACTGGCCACAATTAACCAGCGACAGCCCATTCTAAACTAAAGAAATAAAAACAATTTTTTTTAACCAAAAACGGCCTGGAACGCATCAAAACCGCAGAAAAAACGTGGCACAACCCACTGCACTGCGTGTGCAAAAACTCATGCAGATCTGGTCTGCATTTGGTGTGAACAATCCCTGACTCTCCTTCCCTCCCTGGTTCTCATCTCCTCTCCTCCACCATCCTTTACTCCTCTGGAAATGTATACTAATGCGGCAAAGATAAGGGCTTTTAAGGTTACTTTGCACATGAATTCTGTTGGCTTTTCCAGTATTTCAGGGCAGAGGGCTGTAACCCATAGCAGGCAATGTAAATCCATCTTCGACTTCTAATTTGCTGTGAGTCACTGCACTTTGCAATAAATCCTGTATTATAATAATAATAATCACCATCCTGAATAAGATCTAAACATTGTTATACGCCGCTATATAATCATTTATGTTCTACAGAAACCAGGAACCCGATGCCAAGAGACTGAAAGGTGAAGATGACGATTTTAGCATCTCTCTGCTGGCCGATGGCAACGTGACTAAAGTAAGGATAAATAGTTTTTTTTAAAATGAAGTTTCATTATTGCAGGAGTGTCGGTCACGTGCTCATCTTGACAGATCATGGCCACACTCTAGGCCTTATGTAACAATGGGGGCGATTATAATAGAGCATTTGTAACGTTTTTCTGGAGTTACGGCCCTAGAACAGTGATGGCGAACCTATGGCACGCGTGCCACAGAGGGAACGCAGAGGCCCCTCTCGTGGCATGCAAACCTAGGTGCTGGTTGCCAAGGCCCGCACACTCCGGGTTCTCACCTTGGGGTGCTCCGTGCAGGCCTCCGGTGCTCAAACTTATACCAAACTTATTTTCAGTGTTGGCACTTTAAATTAAAAAATTTGATTTTGCGCTGCAGTTTGGGCGCTCGGGCTCAAAAACGTTTGCCATCGCTGCCCTGGAAAGTCTATGTCTGTAAAATGAATGGAAGCCGAGTAATCTTGTTTTTTCCACTCAGGCAGTTCTTATGTGTGACCCTTTTACATTCTGCAGCTATGGCTGGGAAAAATTAGACATCACAGTGGTGTAGTGGTTAGCGCTTCTGCCGTGCTGCACTGGGGGGTCCTTGGTTAGAATTTTCACTATCTCCTCTTGAAAGATAGCTTTCTGCAAGGAGTTTGCCTGTTCTCCCTGTGCTTGCATGGGTTTCCTCCGGGTACTCCGGTTTCCTCCCACACTCCAAAGACACGCTGGAAGGTTAATTGGCTCTGGTCTAACAGTGGTCCTCGAATGTATGCATGTGAGGTAGAGAGATTGGATTGTAAGCTTCTTGAGGTCAGGGACTGATGTGAATGTGCACTATGTAAAGCACTGCGTACATTGTTGGTGCTATATACCGTATTTTTCGCTCCATAAGACGCACTTTTTTCCCCCCAAAAGGAGGGGGAAAATGTGCCTGCATCTTATAGAGCGAATCCCGACGCCCGAGACATGCAGTTTCGGGCGCCGGGCGAGTAGTAGGAGCCACTGCTCGTTTAATACCAGTGATCTAAGGAGATCATTGGTATTAAAACCGAGCAGCGGCGGCGATCGAGATCACCATAGAGCAGACGAAGAACGGACGTTCTTCGTCTGCTCTGTGTGATCACTGAGACCGTGGCGCTGTAATCACAGCGCCACCTGTCTCAGCGGTCACTAACTACAGCTTCTGTCACAGAAGCTACGGTCTGTCGAGTGCTCCATAAGGCGCACCGGACCTCCCTGCGTCCTATGGTCCGGTGCATCTTATGGACTGCAAAATACGGTAAATACCTGTGATAAATAATAAATAAAGCTGCAGGGTTGAAGAGCTATAACCTCTTTTAGGTCTTTATTGCTGTCTCTTTAGTCCAAATGTCCCTGATGGGGGTTTCATCCAACTGAACAAAACATTTTATGTATAAATTTCCTTTAAATACACATTTTATGCAAGAAATGAATGACTACACATGAGCATAAGTGTAGTAATAAGTGTAAGTAAGTGTAAGTGTAAAATGAACATTTTTAGATGAACATTATCATGAGATACAATAAGAAGTGGAGTTAAAACAACGTATCCCCCTTAGCTGTGATTCTCGGTGTAGTCCACCCTTTTCCAGCAGATGGACGATTGTTGGCTGGCGAGGAAGTTGTATGACCATTCCAGGTCAGCATTCCTCGCTGTGTTAGGGGCTGAGGCTAAGCTGTGTATTCTTTGCAGTCATGGTTGGAGCCATTGCTTGTTGTTCCTCATGTCCAGACAAAGCACTCAAAGTGTGCGAACCGTGCGAACATCCTTGCACTGAAAACATTGTGTCTGATGCCAGCTCATTGATTCTCAGGGCTGCCCTCCACTACTCGGCTCGTGCCAGATTCATGTCACACAGACGGAGTGCAGCAGGCGGGCTGCTTATCATCCTCCTCGACACAAGCAATGCAGTCCTCACACAGAGAAGTCATTTACCTTTGTCTGGCAGTATTGTGGGCAGCTTTCAGTGAGACGGGGGGACGGGTACCAGGGAGTTGCAAAAACAATATATGAAGAAAAAAAGGCATTGATACCTAGATGCCCCGCATCTGAATAGGTCAGTATAACTAACTCATTTGGCCACCTAAATAATGTATTTTTTTTCTGTCCATTGAGGGACACAGGAAGTCTTAAACCTTCGGGTTATACTGCTACCTATAGGAGGACAGGACACTGGAAAATAAAACAATTGTAGGCCAGCCCAGGATAGCCACGCCTACTATCAGCATGCCTCAGTTTTTTACTAGTGTCCTAGGAGGATGGATGACTTTTCTTCGGCTCTGCTGTTGTAAAGACTGACCTGTTATTTGTAGCATTTTTTCCTTCATTATGACCATTCTTTACACCCCTGCTGGAGAGTTCACCTCCCATTTTTAGTAATCCGGTACAGTAGTCCTTGGCCTAGCTTTGGAAAACACCAAAGTGCTTTCAGCGTGCCTACTGATGGTGGTGAGATTGCAGTCTGGAGTCATGTTGTCCGCTGTTGTTAGCGTCTCTTCCCTCCGCAGCTTTGTCAGATGTGACCGGGCCTTTTGGCCTCTTGGCTTTTACCACAGTCATGCAGGACCCAGTTATTTGCTGGCTGTGATTACAGAGGCCACAAACGTGCTCCTGACCCCTCTCTAGCAGATTTATTTTCTGATTTGCCTGCTGCCTTAGCTGCTTCTGAGTCTTTGGCTCCATGCATGCCCATTGGTGGGATGACTGGAGGGAACAGTCAGCATGGGCTTTGTCGTGCGTTTCTGCCCTCACATTACAGAGGTTCAGGTGGACCTCGCTGGAAGTGACTCTCACTTGGAGTGTCTGGGACTGGTCCCGAATAGTGATGAGAGCGGGCTTGGTGGGATCCCAGTTTGCCTGAATTCACTGCAGGGGCAATACTGTGACTAGGGCTGGGCACACACCTTACAACCGTCGCAAGACTTTTGTCTTGCGATGGTTGTAAGGTACTTAAAAAAACGTACGATCTGCCTATCTTGCATAGGCAGATCGTACTTGCGATGATCGCAAGCCACGCCCCCTGAGGGGCGGGCTTCCGATGACCGCAATGCCGAAGCGGGTTTTGAAACATGTTCGTGAGTTTAAAGTCGTGCGACTTTACAGTAGCAGAGGTCGCACGGCTTACACACACCTTACGATAATCGTACGATTGCGGGATTTCCCACAATTATCGTACGATTATCGTAATGTGTGTGGGGACCTTAACACATCCCTCTCCTGGCTCAATCACTTGCATCTGGGGCTTTCCCTACCACGCAGCTACACATCACAAAGGGGCAGGGAATGCCCCTTCCACAAATGCCACAACTGATTAGGCCATGAGGGGGGGTGTCGGTCACAGTTTTGAATGGGTTTGGGTGAATTCAGATGAACTTGGTTTTCACAAAGCCCCCACACATCACTAGTCCTGGACGTGCTAGGATGTCTTCAGATTCCCTGGTCTCTTATCAGTCCTGCAGCTATCCAACTTTTTCAAATCAGACCTGTAGTATACTATAATTGATTTGGACAATTACAGTATTAAACAGAGGCACACTGGTCTCTATGGGTTGCATTAAAATCCTGACGGAGTTTCTAACACTTCCCCTTTCTATCCAAAATTAAGAACAAACATACACCTTAATCCCTATTTGCACATAACCACTGTGTATGAACTCTACATAACTCTAAAAATTCAATAATTATAACATAATAAATCACTTAATAATAATATTAAAACCACGTTTTTTTACATTATAAGAATCTTTATCATTTAAGAACACCGGAAAACACTGTAAAGGCACCCAAAACGACTTCAGGGATGGAATAGAGAGCAGCTGAGCAAACTGAAAGGATCGCATTCTCTCCAGTCAGTTTACTGTTACAATGGGCCTCATCGTCATTTCTGTCTGTCACTTAGGCCGCTAATTATAGCAAAGAGCCGGTACTGCCGTTTTCTCTCTGCTGGATATCGCATTATATACTCCACACTGCTGTCTACGAGCCATTGATAAAATGCAGGCCGTGGTGTGGGGCCTGCGGTGTCCTATGCACAGATTGAAGGAGGGGGCAGTCACATGACTGTTTTTCTCTCTCCTCTCCATGTTTCTCCCTCGCCATATCTCTCTCCCTCGCCATATCTCTCTCCCTCGCCATATCTCTCTTCCCTCCCCATATCTCTCCCCCTCCCCATATCTCTCTCCCTCCCCATATCTCTCCCTCCCCATATCTCTCCCTCCCCATATCTCTCTTCCCTCCCCATATCTCTCTCCCTCCCCATATCTCTCTCCCTCCCCATATCTCTCTCCCTCCCCCTATCTCTCCCCCTCCCCATCCCCC